AATTGGGCTTAACTTGAGATATATTTTTAAAAAATATATTGGCTTTGGATTAAAATATTAAGTGATGATATTACTTTTTTATTAGAAATCATGCTTTAAGACAGAATCAAATTGTACATGTTAGTACTATCATAATCTTTAGGCAGAAATTCCATTGACTTTTTTCTGCTCTTTCAAACTTGCCTTAATGTTTTCAACGGGCGAAGGGCAGGGGTCTTCTTAAGCATGATTCCTGGCTAACTGGGCTGGTGGTTCAGTTAGAGAGCTTAACAATGTGATGCCTGGGATGTGTGATGCCAGTGTCAGTAGGATGCTTGGAGCTCAGAGAACACAAGTGCTATACCAGCCAGTGCTCAAGGGACCATCAGGGTCATTCGGTGAGCTGGGGACCACGTGGGTTCCAGGGCATGGGAGGCTCGTATCTAACCCCCATACTGGCCCGTCCTAACTCTTGTCTTAGTGTTTTTGTGGGATAAATCATGTAGTGTTGAATAATTTCACTTGTAATTTAAATTTCTGCATTTGTTCTCAATCAGTGTGACTGACATTGATAAGCAAAGAACAGTTGCTTATATTTTGTTATTTTGTATGAGGACATTCGTGTGCCTTTGGCTAAGGTCTTCAGTGAGGGAAGCCCTTGAATCTTCCCTTTTCTATTTGAGATAGAAGCTTAAGCTCCATTGAACTTTCTCCAGACTCTGGAAAAAAACAAACAAACCAAAAACAAAACATGTGCCTGCTGTTTTTCAAATTCTCACCTGCCTGAAACTAGAAACTTAATCTGTTCAGATAAAATTTTTGATAAGTTCTTTGTGTCTAAATGTTTTTCGACTCTAACAGTGAAATGAAATGTATTCAGTAATAAGCCCTTAAACTCGAAGACCAAATAAATTTGGATAATGAGGACCCAATAGATTTGGGTCAATAGATTTGGATTGTGCTGCACTTCTTGTACTGTACGAACCCCAATTCCTGAGGATTCGTTGATTAGGCTCTCAGACATTAGTGGGGCTGAATGAAATGACTGGGCAATTGATAACTTGGATCTAAAGGGGACAAATCGCCTCAGAGCTGGAAGGCAGGGTTCCCATGGCCACTAGGTGGGTTCAGATGTCTACAAAGAAAGGGGAAACCCAGAGGTACTAAGTGGCTGCTTCTCAGTTTAATCAAAGTGATTAATTTCATATAGAAAGGATTCCTTTCCTGGGCTCGATTGACAGAGCCAATTCATAAAAACTCAGAAAGCTTTGAGGATCATCTAGCATTGCTTTATTTTATTTTCAAATTAAACTTTATTTCTATTATTACCTTCTCCCCCCCCCCCCCCCCCCCTTCTTTTTGGAAGACTTCCAAATTGACTCAGTGTGATAGCACCCAAGTTGCAGCTAAGGCTCAAGTATCTTTCATTCTCTTGTACTTTCACTGTTGAATCAGTGCTAGCAATGCAATAAAGAAAGAAATCTGGTGGTGAAGTCCTACCACTGGATTAGGTGGCAACAGCTATGCCTATGCCTGAAGAAAGTGTGTGTACAAACTTTGTGTTGCAGTCAAGTGGTATTGTAGGTGTTGGTGACCACCGTATAGGAGGGATTGACTGAACAGGGAGATAACTACTCCCAACTAGTTGAGTTGTTTATTTATTTGGGTTGTGATGGACACACTCAGTGAGGCTCAGGGGTTACTCCTGGCTCTGCACTCAAGAATTACTCCTAGTGGTGCTCGGGGACCATATGGGATGCTGGGGATTGAACCCGGGTTAACCTTGTGCAAGACAAATGCCTTATCCACTTGGCCCATCAACCAAGTTAATTTTTTTATATGAATGAACTGATCACCTGTCCAAGATCCAGAGCAGGGGAGCAATTGGGCCTCTTACTCGCTCCCAGCGAGGCCTGCCTGTTCCTCTAACCTCACATTGTTCAGATGACAGCAACACTTTCTAAGTTCTTTTCTCTTTTAAATACTCTGTCATTAAAACAACTTTAGCATTTAAAAAAAAGACAAAATTAAAGGCCACTGAAGGCAAACAAAAATTTAACAATGATATTTGTTATACAGCAGTTCTAAATGACTGTGACAAATTCGACTCTCACTTTGTTTTTTTTACGGACCTCCAAGTTGTGGTCAGGGTGCTGACCCTAGTCACTCCTGGGGATTATCAGCCAAATAGGTCAGTGCTGGGGACAGAACATGCAGTGTGGTTCAGGGCCACCCAGCTTGCTCAGAGACATCCAGGGATACCTGAAGATGTACAGGGAGCCCTGTGGTACTAGGTATAAAACTGGGGTGAGCTCTGACTTTCTGTGCTATCTCCCTGACTAGAGATACTTTTCCTACAAACTATTTTTTTACAGCATGTCCCCAAAACTTAGATTTTATTTAGGTATTTATTTTTGCGCAGAACCACACCTGGCAGTGCTCAGGACTCCCTCCTGGCTCTGTGCTCAGGAGTACCTGGCGGTGCTTGAGAAACTCCATCTGATTGAACTGGAGTTAGTTGCATTGCAAGGAAAGTGTTTTAACTCTTCTACTATCTCTGTAAGTCCTGAAAACTTCACTTTAAATTGGAAATGATATTGTAAGTCATTTACAATGTGTATTTGTTTTTCTCCTTTCTCTGTTTTGTTTTTTAGTGTGGGGGAAAGAGTGACTCCCAGGCAGTGCTCATTGGGTGCTGGGCCACTCTTACTGATACTAGGTAACCTGTATGTGCTCTGTGAGACAGACACCCTAAGTGTGACTCAGACCCTTGGTATGACTCAGACCCTCAGTGTGACTCAATCCCTCAGTGTGACTCAGTCCCTCAATGCGACTCAGACCCTCAGTGTGACTGAAACCCTTAGTGTAACTGAGACCCTCAGTGCGATTCAAACCATCAGTGTGACTGAGACCCTGAGTGCAACTCAGATCATCAGTGCAACTCAGACCCTGAGTGTGACTGAGACTCTCAGTGTGCTCTGACCCTGAGGTTCAGACAGGTGACACATTGCTCTTGGTCCTTGTGATCCCTGGCTATAGGATAACACTTGGCCATTCTCAGACCTTCAGTGTGACTGAGACCCTCAGTGTGACTTACCCTCAGAGTGAGTCAGATCCTCGGTATAACTCAATCCCTCAGTGTGACTCAGACACTCAGTGTGACCCAGACCCTCAGTGTCACCCAGACCTCCAGTGTGACTGGAACCCTCAGTGTGACTCAGACCCTCAGTGAGACTGAAACCCTCAGTGTGATTCAGACCCTCAGTCTGACTGAGATCCTCACTGTGACTTAGACCCTCGGTGTGACTCAGACCCCCAGTGTGACTCAGACCCTCAGAGTGATAGAGTGATTCAATCCCTCAATGTGATTCAGTTCCCTTGGTGTGACTCAATTCCTCGGTGTGACTCAAACCCTCAGTGTGACTCAGACCCTCAGAGTGACTGAGACCCCCAGTGTGACTCAGACTCTCAGTGTCACTGAGACCCTCAGAGTGACTCAGTCCCTCAGGGTGATTCAATTCCCTCGGTGTGACTAAGAACCCTCAGTGTGACTGAGACCCTCAGTGTGACTAAAACCCTCAGTGTGACTCAGACCTTCAGTGTGACTATGACGCTCAGTGCAACTCAGATCATCAGTGCGACTCAGACCCTGAGTGTGACTGAGACCCTCAGTGTGCTCTGACCCTCAGTGTGACTCAGACCCTTAGGTTCAGACAGGTGACAGATTGCTCTTGGTCCTTGTGGTCCCTGGCTATAGGGTAACACTTGGCCATTCTCAGGGGCTGATAAAGTGTTGGTGAAGAGCCTCACAAATACCAGACATGTGCTCCAGCCGTCTCTGATCTGTCTAGCTCCTCTCATTCCTATTTTGGGAGAACATAAGGGCTCCTAATTAGGAGCCATCAGCTACCCCACGAGGTACTAGCCCAGCTCCATAGAACTGACTGTCCTGTGCTCTGGAGCGGCCATGGAATGGTACCATTGGGTGGTGCTCTTGGTTCTATGAGGTGCTGAGGGTTGGGCTCAGTGTAGCATGTGCCTGGCATGTGTCCCAGACCCCTGAGCCATCTCTTCACCCTTTGGATTTTAATTTTCAAAATTTTTATTCTCAAAATTGAAATAACACAGCAGCAGTATACATTTTAAATGCATATCATTGACAGTCACTGCATGTATAAAACCATATGTCCTATGGCACGTTTCTAGAGTAGAGCAGATATAAGGCAGCCTCAGAGTGTGGACAGGGAAAGACAGTATGGAGAGGAAACTCAGATCATTCAGGATGAGGAGGAAGATGAGAAGTGGGGACAGTTTGTCGAAGAGAGAGCACAGAGAGACCTGCTTGAGCACAGGGTGTATGAAGGAGGTGAGGCATGGGAGGGCAGGTGAGTCCCAAAAATAGAGAAAAGTAGGAGGGAAGAGCAGGAAGCATCTTTCTTCTCAAGGCCTAGAAAAGATAGCTTTCTTCCCCGTTCTCTTGAGTTTTCCTCTTTGTTCCTATTCCTCATTTTGGTTTTCCACCAACCAGCAGCCAGTCTCCTGAGCCATTGTACCTCCACAAATGCTGTCCAGGTGATCAGTGAGAATTTGCCATGTCAGGTGGGGCTGGAGAGAGAGTACAGTATAAAGGGGATAGTGCTTGCCTTGCACGGGTTCCATTTCTGGCACCCCAAGTAGTCCCCCAAGCGCCATCAAATGGTTGCTGCATGAGGATTAAATGATCTGTCTTTGAAAAGCCCTTAGAGCAGGATTTGCTGCTTAGTTAAATCCCAAAATGTGACAGTTATTAAAATAATTGTTTTTTTCTCTGTAATGAATTATTCCAGTGAGAGTACATCTCTGTAAATATAAATCATGTTCAAAATCCTTGAAATGACTCTTTGATGTAAGAGTTTAGCAATAGATATATAGTTATTTTCCTAATGGTATGTTTAAGCCAAATAAATAACAAAAAATAGATAGTCATGATTAAATGCACTGAAAATTTTCATTATCTTTTTGTTTTAATTCTCTCATTGTAGTGATTTAAAGGGAGTGATAGTCACTCTGAGCGACGATGGTCACTTGCAGTGTTCCTACCTGGGGACAGATCCTTCTCTGTTCCAGGCTCCCAAGGTTGAAGCTAGAGAACTGAACTACGATGAACTGGATGTAGAGTTGAAAGAACTTCAGAAAATCATCAAAGATGTTAACAGATCACAAGGTATCTCACTGGGCACTTTTTATTTTTTGATCTTAACATGCAATGTGAAGCTTAACTTTATGCATAGCATTGTGTATATAATAGTTAATTTTCTCTTCCTCCAAGCATAATAAATATTATATATTAAAAATAGTGTTGCTCTTCAGCACACAAAGTCTTTATCCTTAATTTGTTTCATAGCCTCTGAAAACTTAAGTCCAATTTAAGCTAGTGTTTCTGTTAATGAGTTTCAAAGACTGTTCTATCATTTTTTCCCTTTTAAACTACAAATGGAATAAGTGCTTCTGAGGCCTTGAAAAGAGCATTTTCATTTGAAGTGGTCATTTATTAGCTTCTGATGTCCTTGAGAAATTTAGTTTCTTCTTTGAAAAGAAACCCTAATATTACATGAGTTACCATTTTGTTACTAAAAATGTAGTCATTTGCAGCTTAGTAATATAATTTATATTTTTAGTTAATTACCCGTTAAAATGGAGTGTAGCCCATGGCATGCTGACTTCTGAGGACTCAGGGTACTGATGATATTTTCAGTTACTAAATTTTGAATAACTCAATATTATCTTACTTTGGGATTCCTACGTGTATGACTTTATTATAAATTAAAATGAGAAACAAAACACCAAACCTGCAGTTTGAGTTGGGCATGTGAAAGGCATTACTTCAAGTTCCTTTTTTGGGGTCAGGTAAAAGTATTTCTTTTAATGAGAAAAAATATGTCCTATTTTCACATAAAAGAAATGTTAAAACAAGTAGGGATAATGAAAGAACCAGAGTATCAAATGCCAACCAAAACAGCAGAGCCAATCTAAATTCTGTTTCAATCACTTTACTAGACTTAGGTATTTTTGATCCTATTACTAAGACAGATTCAGGGAAATTTAAATACTATATTTTAAACTAATGCTAAACTAAATTTGTCTTTTGTTAATTTTTGCGGGGTACACCAGCAGTGCTTAATGTGTTACCTCTGTGCTTAGGGACCAATAATGATGGACATGGGGGACCATATGAGATGCTAGGGATCGAACCTGGGCCAGCCGACCATTATGGGATACTAGGGATCGAACCGGGGCCAGCTGCATTAAAGGCAAATGCCTGATCTGCTGTACTGTTGCTCTGACTTGAAACTAAAACTTTTATTCTTGCTTTCATACATTCTCTTAGAAAGTTTTGACAGTAGACCAATGAACCTTAGGTCTGTTAAGTGCCTCAGTTACTTAAGGACATACTCATTGTTAGCATGACCATACCAAAACAGAGAAAGGTTGAAATGGGATGTGTCTCATTGCAACATGCAGTCTTTCCTACTTCCAATACCGATGTTTTTGGTAGTAATGGAATTATAATGCTCATCCTATCATTTCAAAGTGTAATTGGGGAAGAGTGACATTTGTATAAAGCATGGAGTTCCCAGTGCTTGTTCAAAATTTAATGTGACTTTGACTCCAAATTTTAAACTGGAGATTTTGCCCTTTCCATAAACAGTGTGTTCATTCTATTTTGATTAATGCTTAATTGTGTATAACATTTCTCAGAAAAATTCCTTACAGCTAAAAATTATTTTTCGGTGCCCACATTGATGGCTTGGGTGAGAAGGGTTAGGCTGTTTTACTTGTCACTACCTTCATCTTCTGTGTATTTTGAAATAACTACTAATTAGGCTAGAGATGTGCCCAGAGCTTTCAGTGCAAAGTTCATTATTTGCATAACCTTGAATTGAAGTTAATATTTGACACTCCCTGCCTCTCTTGTGCCACTCTCACTTAGTTTGATTCCTAAAAAAGAAACAGAGGGAAACTTCAAAAAAGACTTTAAAAATATTTTTTTCTGAGATATAAAAAATAGTATTCTATGCCCCTATAAAGTGGTGGTATGTCTGTTTGCTAAAATATCTATAATTACAGAAAAGCACTAACTCATTTTTATCACAGCAGTGCATGAAACCGAACCTTTTGGTGACCTTATTATTGATTTAAGTGCCACTTCTTTTAGCGTAGTGGCTTAAGTTAAAAAATGTTCAGTCTTGTGGGTTATGGTCAGTACTAAAGGCTTTTTAAAAAACTTGTTTCTTCAAAGAAAGAGTTGCAGCAATATTTAAAGGCAGTTTAAAAGTACATTTTGTTGTACACATGGTGTATATTATCTACTGTAATAAAAGTGTTTTTGAAGCTGATTTTATGTGTGTAAGTTATATGAGGAATGTTTGATGGAAGCATGAAATTATAGTAATAATTTCTGTATGGTTCATGGATTATGGTTCATGGATTTTGAAGCTTTTCATATCCAGCTCATTAGTGTGAATCCCGCCTAGTGTGAATCCTATTCCCAGCAGTGAACAGCGTCTTGTCTGTGGGCACTTACCGTATTGGGTCTCCTGTGATTTAAACAGTTGGTCACGCTCACTCCCTGTGGTGGGCATCAAGGAATGGGTATAATGTGGGCTCACATTTCCACAGGCTGTATCCTTAGGAAGACAGAGAAAACATCGAGGTAGGGATGCTTCAAAGGCATTCCAGAGGTCATCAATGTTAAGTGAAGTAAGTCAGAGGAGGTCAAATACTGGATTATCTCCCTTATCTGCGATATATAGAATAATTAGGATGAGGGAATGCAAGGTGTCGAAGAGGGGAGTACCTAGAATGGCCTGGACCTAGAGTGCTGAAATGAGAACAGGAAAGGAAAGAAACCCAGGGGGAGCTGTGGTCTAGCTGTGTGCTCTGTGTCAGCATCTTAGCCACAGCTCCAGCAACACTGAAAACATGAGATTCAACCTACAACAAGCGATCTTAAAAATGGGCATGAAGTGAGAAGGAGAGGGACAGACATAGAATGATTGCACTTATTTATGGCATATAAAAACAACAACGGGGGCTGGAGCAATAGCACAGTGGATAGGGTGTTTGCCTTGCATGCGGCCACCCGGGTTTAATTCCTGGCATCCCATATGGTCCCCTGAGCACCGCCAGGGGTAATTCCTGAGTGTAGAGCCAGGAGTAACCTTGGTGCATCACCAGATGTGACCCAAAAAGTAAAAAAAAAAACCGTAGGAGACTAATACCCAAGGACAGTAGAAAAACAGGCCAGGAGAGTGGGGGAAACAGCAAGGCTAAAGAAGTCCACAAACACAGTGATAGCTGGAGAGGCTGGAGTGATAGCACAGTGGGTAGGGGTTTGTGTTGCACGCAGCCCGACCCGGGTTCGATTCCCAGCATCCCATATGGTCTCTTGAGCACGGCCAGGAGTAATTCCTGAGTACATGAGCCAGGAGTAACCCCTGTGCATCTTTGGGTGTGACCCAAAAAACAAAAACAAAACAAAACAAAAAACCAGTGATAGCTGTAAATTACTGCTCTGAACAAGAACTGAGTGCTGAAAGGGGGTAAAGAGATAAACATGTTATTCTTTCATTATGAACCTCAGTGCCCAGAAGGGAAGAGAGGAGAGAGAGAGAGAGGAAGAAGAAAAGTGTCGGCCACAGAGGCAGGCTATGAGGGTGGCAGTGGCAGGAAAAAACTGGGAACACTGGTGGTAGGAAATGTACACGGGTGAAGGGAAGTGTGTTGAAATGAATGAAACCCAATGGTGAACAACTTTGTAACTGTGTATATATTGCTGTGATTCAATTTCAATTTTTTTTTAAAAAAGCATGTAAAGTAGAATTATCTGGAAATATACGCAATTAATTTTTTTTTAAAAAAGTGTGCTGGACTGGGGCCAGAGTCATAGTACAGTGGGTAGGCCACTGGACTTTTCCACAGCTGACTCGGGTTCCATCCCCAGCTCCCCATAGGTCCCCCAAGCACAGTCAGTGCCAGGAATGAGCCCTGAACACAGCCTGGTGTCACCCCCAGACAAAGAAACTAGTCAAGGAGCCAGGTGGGGGGTGATGAAGGAACCTATGGATACTGGTGGAGGGGAGTTGACACTGCTGGTGGGGTTGGTGTTGGAATTTTGTATGTTTGAAGTGGTGTCATGAACAACTCTGTAAGTCACAATTCCTTAATTAAAGAAAAAACAGAAATTAAAAAAAATAACTCTGGGACTGGAGCAATAGTCCTGTGGATAGTACACTTGCCTTGCACGCAGTCAACCCGGGTTCCATCCCTGGCCCCCATTGGTCCCCTGACTTTGTCAGGAGTGATTGCTGAGCACCACCAGATGTGACCCCCAACTCAAACAAAACAATCATTCTGCTTCCTATTTTAAATATGCTTAAGATAAATAAATCACCTCTTGTGACTTAGTAATGGAAACCTGTACTTGGTGCCCTTATTGCAAGAGGTATTGTTTAGAATTTTGTATGACTCACAAAACAAAACTAACTTAAGTAAGTCTCAGTGATGAACACCCCAATAAAGCAATTTAAGCAACATTGAATTTTGTTTCTTTCCCATGAAAGAAAAAACCAGCAATGGGCAATTCGGGGTTGGTTTGGCAATTCCACTGTCACCAGGGACCCTAGTTCCTTCTCTCCCAGGAATCATCTCTTGGTCCAGGAGGCTTCTGGAACCCTGTCCTCACAGCTGCAGCTGAGTCAGCCCCTCTGGACTCTTTCCTGGAAGCCACACCCCGAGCAGCGTCTGCTCACACACATCTCAGAGGCCTCTCAACGCTGCAGAAGAGACGGGGAAAATGGAGTGTTTCAGCCAAGCACTTTCCTGCTTAGGATACAAGTCAGACATCTCTTCACGAAGAACTGGAGAATGGATCTGGAGCAGCCGTTTTGGACGTTCAGCTTAGTGACTCGTAGAAGTTTCTGTTCCAAAGAGTGAGCATGGTGGAGATGTCTGTGGCTAGCTGGCGGCCCTTACTCGTTTGGGAGGCAGCTAATTTTGGTGACACCGTTGCCGCAGTTCTTCCCAAATTCGAGCCAGCCATCACCAGTGTGGGGGAGGTTTCTCAGGGTCACAGGCCTTGTGGGTAAGGGGAATTTAGGGATGAGACATGACTTCCTGTCTCCCTCTTATTGGGGTGATTGTTTTTTTCCCAGAAGCATTTGCCTCACTCCCAACCTCTTTACCTTTGGACAGCCAGGATTGACCTTCTGCTTTTATGCCTAAAATAACAGATGGCAGGAGGGCTGGGGTCACCAGGATTGGATTTCACTCTGGGGCCCAGGAGAGGGGATTTTTCCGGTGAAGGTGAATGCTGCATCAGAATGAGGGCTCTGGGATCAAGAAGGCAGAGGGAAGAGTGGGCGTGGGTGGGCGGCCGACCCTCTGCCACTTGTGCTTGTGTACGTATGCGGAGAGAGAGGAAAGAGCGAGAGAGAGAGAGAGAGACCGAGAGACAGACAGAGACAGAGAGAGACACAGAGAGAGAGAGAGAGAGAGAGAGAGAGAGAGAGAGAGAGAGAGAGAGAGAGAGAGAGAGAACGCTCCCCGTTCACACGTGCCTGCCCTTCTGCTCATACCTTACAACACAACGGAAGTGTTGCTTACATTGTGGAGTGTTGCCGTGTTAAGATAATGTGTCTGTGTTGAAGAGAATTGAAACTACTGAAAGTGTCAACTCCAAGTCTTAGTATTTAACTTTAGGCAACCTTTTATCAAGGGGCTTTGTGTGTGTTCTTCACAGATATTTTCATATTTTTAGAATCGGTTTTAATGCCTGTACATACATATTAGATATCTAATACTGCGTTCTGATTTTTCTTAATAATAGGAAAATCTTAGAGGTTTTTTTTTTCCCTATTGTGTACAAAAATGGAAAGTGCATAATTTATAAGTCTGGACTATTGTGCAGTATGGATAGAGCATTATTTAGTTAAGCATTTTTCCTGCTGATATAAATATGAAAATTCAGGTTTCCTTGCTCACTGTTCTGTTCAGCTCTGTTTTTCTCTCTTCCCCTGCCCCCTTTCTTCTTTCTCTCAGTAGCAGAGAACTTCATCTCTTATGTTTAAATGTTTAGTAATAGAATTGCTACATCCCAGGATGTGTCCATTTTATAATGTGATAGTCATAACCAACTTACCTTCAAACCGATTATCCTGATTGGAAAGGGAAGGGAAATTACTGGCACTGGTGTGTCAGTAGGTTACTTCTCAGCTACTACTTGGAAGAGAGAATTTTTCTTTATGTTACTGTAAAAGCAAAGAAGTGCATCAAGCTTCAGAACTGCAATACTGTATATTGTTTGAAAAAAAAATCCTTATATTTCTTACAATGTTATGGCAGGATTGAATTTAAGACTAATTTTTCTTTTTTTTTTTTGTAACTTTACAGGTGTTTGGCCCATGACTGAGAGGGAAGATGACTTGAAAGTGTCTGCCGTGGTTTCTCCTAATTGTGATTCAGTGCCTGTAGGTGCATTCATGGATTTTCAAAGGGCTTATCATAGTGGTGGGCACTTATTTATAGGGTCAAAATTAGTTTAAGTTCTGCACCTCTAAGAATAACAAATTTTAGGCCCTCTTCCTTTCTAGAAAAAAATGCTTCTAGCCCTAGAGGCAGAAAGGAATTTCTCTATCTTTGAAAGGAGGCGTGGGAAGAGAGGAGACCAGAAAGGGGTTTTGCTCTTGTCCTGAATCTTTCTCTGTCTTTCTTATGGTGCAGTTTTGTGTTAAGCCTTTATCATGTTGACATAGCTTCAGTTTGCAATAGTGCAATGTTTTCATGCTTTGGGGGTTCAGTGTTACATCACCACAGTGCCAGCATCCATCCTCATAGCATTAAAGAACAAAAGAAAGCCAAATCTGAATGGTGGAGTACTGGTAAGGTAAGGTAAGGTAAAGGCCCTCCCGTTGATCGTCGATTTACTCGAGTGGGCCCAGTAACGTCTCCATTGGAGACTTTGTTGTTACTGTGTTTGGCATATCGAATACATCACGGGGAGCTTGCCAGGCTCTGCCGTGCGGGCGAGATACTCTCGGTAGCTTGCCAGGCTCTCCAAGAGGGGCGGAGGAATCGAACTCGGGTCGGCCATGTTGGCCGCTTGTAAGGCGAACGCCCTACCGCTGTGCTATCGCTCTAGCCCTGAGTGAATTCTAATCCAGATGGATAATGATGACTTTTTAGGGAATAGAGGTGAGTTTGGGCCAAACCTGGCAGGGCTTACTCCTGGCTCTGTGCTCAGTGATCACTCCTGGTGGGCTTGGGAGACCATATGGGGTGCTGAGGATCGAACCCAGCTTGGCTGTGTGCAAGGCAGATATCTTACCTGCTGTACTATTGCACCAACCCCATTCTGACTTTTTATAGATAATATTTCATAAGATAATGTTTGTAATTTTAAGTACATTCTGGCGAGGTAGGGCTTGTTTTTAAAGTAGACCATTGATCAGGAATTTCTGTATTTTTATTTTTTTGCTTTTTGGGTCACACCTGGTGGTGCTCAGGGGTTACTCCTGGCTTTGTACTCAGAAATCACTCCTGGCGGTGCTCGGGGTACCATATGGGATGCTGGGAATTGAACTCGGGTCAGCTGCGTGCAAGGCAAACGCCCTACCCGCAGTGCTATTGCTCCATACCCAGGAATTTTTGTATTGTTTAGTTTTGAGGTCACCCCGGCATTGCTCTGGGCATACTGTTGTCTCTACACTCAGGGACTACTCCTGGTGACACATATATGGTGACACATATATTGGCTGCATACATAGCAAGTACCTTGGCCCTTGCATCAGGAATCTTTATCCTTGTTTTTATCTGTATGACTAGGGCCAGCAAGTTTTATTAGTCTCAAATTTCTTCTTAAATGGAAATTTTTTGACTTGTTAGGATAATTAGCCATTATCATCCTACTAAAGTTATATTTTAGTCCTTTCATCTTTGTCATAATTATAACCTACTATTTATTACTGTCGTTGCTATTCACTGCCATATCCTTAGTGTCTGTCACCTAACGACATTTCAGTATATATAGTTGGCTTATGAATGAAAGAGTAAAGTTGAGAAATAACAAGGATCAAAGAAGGGTTGTCCTTGGTCAGATCACTGTTGCATCTTTGTTTACTCTACTGTGTGTACTTGTCAGATTATTACTGATTTGTTCTGCTTTCTTCAGTTTGGGCAAAGTCAGTGAAGTTTATCTGTGTTTGTGGCAAAAGTTGATCAATTTCAGAGAATAAATTCAATGAATTTACTGTATTTGTAATTCATGCTATATAATTTTGCCTCAAAAATGCCTTTATATTTAGGTATTCAAGCTTAAGATAATTATTAGTTGTAATAAGTTTTCAAGATTAATCTCAGTAAAAAGAGTGAATCCATCCAAGTTGTGATAAAAATCATAGTATAAGATTGCCATAGGATAGTAAGTTAGGTATACCAAAAAAAAAAAAGAACTACATATGAAAGAAACATTCATCAGCTGAATCACATAGTAGAGGGACTGTTTTAAACTTTGGGCATACAGCACACACCATTTCTCACTCTACCTGAAGGGGTATAGTTTGAATGGAACATTTCTGCTTAGTTAGCTGACAAATGTACACACATTTTCTTTCCTTGGAAATGATTCTCTTTTTCCCTTTGGGAAACTTACATAATTTCTTCTAGGTTCTCTTAAATATAGGCTCTTTGGAGTGAGGAATTCCCTTTCTGTCCTTTAGCACTTTTGATCTTTTTAGGAAAAGGCCTTATGTAATAGCGCCATTTTGTAACATATACCTCCTTATTGGTTAGCAGAGTGCTGTTTCAGTTTAGCTAGGTGTCTCTTCAGCTTCATTTTCCATCTCTTATTAATTTTCCTTGTTAAGAAATTATTGAGAATATCATATTCTTTCCATTGGAAATTGTTAGCTCACCAATTTATGTAGTTGTGGTGTGATAGTTTCTTTGTATAGCTGTTTCTCTCTGGTTATAATTTTATGGTCCCAAAATATTGCTATCCTTGTAGTAACTTGGTGTTTAGACATGAATTGAAAAGAGCAGGGGACAGGAGATATTGGTTTCTCTTCTAGATTTGCAGACAGCAAAATGTAAACAACACATTCCTTGGCATTTAGGTAAAATTAGGTAATTAGGCATTTAGGTAGAATCCAAGAACTCTGGATTAGTAATTTGTTTTTATGCATTATTATAAAAAATCATCCAGAAATATCAAAATACAGAAGAGACCGTCATTAAGACTCTTCTTGTTTGGGAAATTGGCTCAGAGTTCTTATATGGTTCCATATGGCCATATATAGAAAATGAACTTTTCAATTTTTAATTACGTTGATACTCATTACATCATAGTGTCTCCCATTGCTTAGAAGTGGCTTAGTTTTCTTAGTAAAAATGTCTAATTGATTAACTTAAAAGCTCAGTGGGTCTATTCATTGGTTTGATAGAGATTCTATTATCTTAATTATTTTAGTATCAAATAATACCAAGAACTCATATGGGTATTATTTGAAAATATGTTAACCTTTTGCCATATTCTCTTATAGTATGAGCACGTTCCCTCTTATTTTACCAGTCTAAAAATAAGGTATAAATTACAAGGAAATGTTTATTCTCATATTTGGAATTCCTTAAGAGATAAGGACGAGGTAACCAGACTGATACCCAACGTTACTGAGTGTGTATGTGAGTGTATATTCAGTTTTATTTTATTCTCTAAGTGTGTCACTTTATATAGTTGTGAAGGTATATGTCCTTGATACGTATTACTAATCAGAATAAAATACACCTTTAGGAAATAGAAAATACCAGTACCTAAAATAATGTTTATTTGGCTTCTTATATAAGAAGCTCTTCTATATGTAAAGAATGAATTAATAGAATGAGTTTCAACACTTAAGGAAATGTGGCAATGAAGTGGGATTTTTCTACTTTGGGGTGAGAGGGACGTAGGGTTTTGAATATAAGCTCATGACCTTGCAGATGAAGATGTTCACACAGTTTCCTGATTCTTGCTGTTATTTTCGATGACTCTTAACAGTCTCTCTAAAGGTGGAAGAGAGTGTATATTGTGCTAGTAGGTATGTAGTGCTGAACCCATCCTTTTTCTCCTCCTCTGTTTGCTGCAGGCTACTGATGCTGATGCAGGACCTGACCTCGTCCCTTCTGTCACAGTGAAGGTATTGTGCTTCAGTGTGATGTTCAAACAGTAATATACCTTCATTACTACTTTCATTGTGATCTTCTAAGGAAACTACAAGATGTGAAAAAACCACCTGAAATTTTTGCTTTACTCAGTGTTGGGTAGGGAATAGATAACCTTCATTGTTACCTATTTGTATAAAACTGATAGTTGTGTTCTTAGCACACAACTTTTATTATTGTTCTTATAATAAAAACAATAATGTCTTCCTCTGTTAAAATGTGTAGTAGAGGCTGAAGTTTGGCTCAGCTGCAAAGCACAGTCTTTGCATGCACAAGACCTGGTTTTGCTCCCCAACCACTGGGGAAAAAAAAGGGAAGGAAAGGTGTGGCATGATCCAGTGTCTTTTTTGTACAGACAAAAATTAACATTTTAAATATGCTAAGTGAAGTGTGTCATCACTACTCATAAAAGATCAACCAGTTGATTGTAATATTATATACACATATAAATATATGAATCACATAAATTTTGATAATATATTTTTATGTATAATTATGTCTGTGTGTTTAAAAAGGATTCCTACTCGTCAATCTGCCATAACATTAGTTTTAAATGTATGTATTCATAGCAAGGAAATATTAAATGAAGAAGCCACAAAGTAGAGTACTGACAAATTGATGGTCCTAAACAAACACAATAAGAAGGATGTGGTTTTGGTTGAGAGTTTTAGTCCTGTCATTGTAGAATATTAGAACTAGAACTCAAATGTAGAGCCCTCTTAAGGCATTTAGATTAAAGTGTGGTAATCAGTCAGCACATTATTAAGCTGAAAATATTTATCACTGCCCAGAACTTGGAGCCAGGGAAACTTGTGGATTTTGGCGATTCACTTAGTCAAAACTTGGACAAGGCTTTATATTTTCATAGATTATGGGTTGATATCCTTGGAGGAGCTTGACAGGGCACTCAGCTTCACCAATTGTGTTCGCTTATACTGGACCCAGCGGGTGGCCCAAGTGTGGGGATCTTTGGTAAAAGTTGAAGGGAGCCCAATCTTGTAACAGTTTCCTAAGCTAATTTTTTTGGATACCTGCCACTGAAAACAAGGGTGGTCTTTCCCCAGTCTTTCTCCGCACCAACCAATCAAAGGCTCTATCTCATTAATACCTTGGAGTCTGGAAAAGCATTAGTGGCAAGGAATCAAACACTTAAGGGGGGAAAAAAAAACCTGCCGAGTTCCAGGAATGATCTATAGACTTTTGTGTAGGGAAACCTCTTTTATTTCTGCCTACTGATATTGTTCAGACACATACACGTAATAATTCAGGAGCACACTATAAACTGCAGGAGAAAAAAAAAAGTCCTGTACCTAAACCAGATGCAATTGCTCCTGCTTATTCTTCCCTATTCCAACTTCTAGTTCTTGCTTGAAGTCCACACACCTTCCCACCTATGTGGTTCTTAGTCTTTCATGTGGAATTGCACCTTAAAATTATGGCTCAACACTACTGGAAAACCCCCCTTCCTGAGCAGGGTTCACTGTTGGAGAATGACGAAGTTGCAGTTCTCCTCCCAGTGGCCATTCCAAGAGCAGGAGATCGCACACAATCAGCTGGCCTCACCAGCAGACACAGTGACTTCCTGCTTCTACCTGACAGTTTCTATACAAATGTCTGCTATAAATCTTTCCTTATAGTCCTTTATAATAACGGCAGCCAAGATATATAGCCATGCAAGTTTCCATCATAATAAATCCTGTTAATTGAGAAAATTTTTCCATCCGTTCCAAGTGAATGAAGATGTGGCTACCCTGAGTATGTGAGTATGATGCGTGACCATCTACTGCGGGCAGCTGAGGCAGAGCGCTCGTTCGTACCATTCATTGGAGTCATATTTATGTATCTAGGATAAAAAGCTGGTATTATATTTCCTAGGGATCATATTTCATTTTGTTAGAAGCAGAAAATAGCATGGAAAATTTTCATATTAACATTTTATATTTTCCCCTTAATATTCTATAATTATTTTTCTCTTAAAATATGAGGTTTAGGACCTAGCCAAGTCTTTAACTCTTTTTTTTGGCTCCAACACAACTCTTCTTTGTTACTGTAGTTATTTTCGTTACACATCTCCTTGATTCCAGTTTGGATGTGCCTAACCCTTGTTGGGGTTCAATAAATCTGAGTGTGAGTGCTATCATGATCATGCATCTAAACCAAATGCGAACTCTTCTTGTAACAATGTAAAATTGTGCAGTTCTTGCCCATGTCCAACCAGAGTCAGAATGTCTGCTCTCTTATGAGTGGCTTATTACTACTTTAAGAATTTTTCATTTTTTAGTTGTAAAACTGAGCTCTCATGAGATGTTCCTGTTCCTTGTTTTTAAGTTCTCTTGATTCTATGGTCTTGAGTAGTTATCTGGCATCTCTCGACCTCTATTTTTAAAATATGTACTGAGGCTGCCTTTTCATCCGCAGACTTATTTTGATAATTGACCACAGTTGATTAAGAACATGGGCTCTGGATTCTGGCAGAAGGAAGTTAAATTGTGGTTCTCCCACTTGTAATTAGAAGATTTGGGCCACCTAATTTGGGTTACTTAGTGTCCCCAAGGCACCCTTTCTCATCTGTAAAATAGTGTATTGAGATGGCACCATATCATAAAGTAAAGATAAAGTGAGATCATGTAGACAGTTAGTTAGTGTGATTACATCAATACAGAAAGTTGCTGCTATAGAAAGATTGATATCCATTCCCTAGATCAGTTAATAATGAAACATTTCTTTCTCAGACTCATGTCTGGTAACTAGAATGAACTGCCCCATTGCGAAGATACCAGAACAAAGAATGGTTCCCACTAAAGACTCTACCTAAGAAATTGTATGGGAACTATTAGAAATACCAACACCCAGATCTTCCCCAGAGATTCATAATCCAGTTGTTCAGCACCCTCAGGGGGCAGGGGACTGTGGGGAATCAGTTTCCTAAACTTGGTATGTGGAGGAACCCTCCAAAGGAGTCTTTTCAAGGAGGGTGGGTCTTTGTTGTCAAAATCCAAACAAAGAACATGCTCAGCCCATGTTCTTAATCAACTGTGGTCAATTCTCATTAAAAGCTCAATTTTTAATCAGGTTTTTGTTTTGATGCCAAATTGTGGAAATTGTGTCTGTTAGCACTGTGGTGCTAACATCCTTGGAGCTGATCGTTTTTATTGTTACTTCACCCCAGCGGGAATGTGAGTCATTTTGTTGCTTTCGAGCCATATCAGTTCCATTTCCTGGGCAAATTCTTCCCTCAGCATTTGCAGCTCTCAGTTCCTACTGGAGCAGGGGAGGTTTCCTAAGACCCACAACACAAGAGCACCAGGTGGAAAATGTGGGTGGCCAGCCTGGAACTGTACAGTCAGTAGTACTGCCATACTTTGATATTGTCTGGAATTAGTTATGCCATTTCATGGATATATTATCATTGAGGTAACATGGTAACATGGTTAGGGGAATGTTTATGTTTGTGCATATTGTAACATAGCTGCTCCTCCTCTACCACAACCAACATGCCCAAGACCCCCCAACCACTGTCCTGGGGTCACTTCTGGTTAGACTCTTCCTCATCCCCATCCTGGGTAACCACATTTGACTGTACAAAGTCCAAGGAGCTATTGTCATTATAGCTGCTGAGGTCGTTCAGTGTCTGCCGTCCTGTCCATGCATCACCATGTTCACTACAATGTTATTTACAATAGCCAAACTATAATGACAACCCAAGTGTCCTGGGTGAGTTCCTTCTTGCCCCAGACCCTGACTTACATTCTTAAACTGCTATTAACCCATTTCCTTTCTCTATGTTTGCCTATTTTGGACATGTCATATAAATTTGTCATACCACACACACACACACATATATGTATATATATATATATATTTATCTCTCTATATGTTACTGGCTTCTTTCACTTCGAATAATATATTCAAGGTTTGTGGATGTTATAGCATGTGAGCACTCATTTTTCTCACTGGTCCTATTTCATCTTTTGACTCTAGCACAGTTTATTGAAACATGACTGATAGACATTAGGATTCTTTCTGCATTGGGCGTTATGAGCAGTGCTGTTACGAGCATTTGTGCGCAGGTGTTTGTGTATACATATGTTTAATTTCTCTAGACATGGAGTTGTGAAGTTCTCTGTATAGTGAATTTATGTTTAATTTTTAAGAAAAGAAAACCATTTATTTCCTTAAGTATATTCCTACCAGCAATTTGTGAGTATCATAGTTTCTCCACATTCTTGCAAACACCCATTCTTTTTGGGAAGAAAGGAAGTTTGGGTTACACCTGGCAGTGCTCAGGGATTTTTACTCCCTCTGTGCTCAGGGGTAACTCCTGATGGTGGCTTGGCCACATGAAAGACAAGTTCTTTACCCCCACTCCCCTGTATTGACTCTCTGGCTTCCAGACACCCAGTTTTGTCTTTTCTTTTGATTCTAGCATTTTAGTGGATGTGTAGTGGCATCACATTGTGGTTTTAATTTTTATTATATAGTGATTGAAGATATCAAGAATTTTCCTCATTGCTTGTTGTCATTCTGTTATCTTTTTTTTGAGTAGTTTGTTTTACTTCTCTGCCCATTTTCTACTGGGTAGAATGTTTTAATCGACTACTTATGTTATATGTGGTATGTGACTGCTCATTTTTTTCCTCAGATGGTGTTTCCTAATTATTTGCAAATGGATATTAAAGTAGTTGTGATATTCTGTAAATTAGAATAATATACATCTGTTAATAACAATTTCTATTTCTTTAGATCACCCTGCAGAATCGAGTGGCATTGCAGAAAGTCAAATTGTCAGTCTATGTGTATTCACCATTGGTATTAACTTGTGATCAGTTCACCTTTGAACTTACTGGTAGGTATTTTGTTTTGTCTACCACAGTATGAGGTTATTTTTAAATATTTTATATTGTGTTTAGTTCATGGCTATATTTCTTGTCTGAATAGTGAGACAGGTATTTTATTGAAATCGATGATGGTGGTGTTTTGCTTAAGTTTCCCCTTCCACCATAAAGGAAGGACGTTCAGGGAATGGCTTTTGAGTTGGAGTAATTACAGATTGCCAAGTGTGTTCCTTAACTAGTTGGACCTGTAATTGTACTTAAATACTATAATTTGGGAGGTGTTCTTTATTGGTGTTTCTCTAGTGACCTATTTATTGAGTCAGTCATGTCTGAGGAAAGAATATTGGCTTTGGAGTCTGGCCTGAATTTGAATCTTGGCTCTGGCACTAATTTGATATATAACCTTGGACAGGCTACTTTAGTCTTTACTTTGAAGCCTCAATTTTTTTAATCTGCAAAAAAGAGCTAATGATAACAGTCTTATGGGGACCGTTTTGAAGTTTGATTAGAAACCAAATCTCTATGAGATATCTGTGAGAGATTATGTCTAAAATTGTGACTATGTCTAAAAGGCAACTCTTACTAAGACTTCATTGTGTAGAATCTCTCATCTCCTGCTACTGAGCTCCGTGTTGTCATTCATTGTGCTGATATTTCATGTCTTTTTTTGTTTATTATAACTGCCCTGTTGAGATTACTTATTTATGAACACAAGAACACCTCTCTCTCCCTCCCCTATCTCTCTCTCTACCTCACCCCTCTCTCTTCTTTATATAACTAACACTTGACTGAGTGCTTGGCAATGTGCGAATTTAATAATCACTGAATGAATAAAAATGAACAGTTGAAGTAACCTTATAGGTGTTACCTAACTATTTTATTTTCAAATTTTCTCTTATTTTCATTTTGTCTTGTAAAGGATGTTTCTAACAATTACTTGTACCAGTTAAAAACCTCTATGGTGAAAATCAAATACATGAATATAGGAGACTGCACACTCTGGCAAACTGCTGCTTTTGTAGTTATGTTCATATCCAGACTGCCCTCTCCTTCTCCTCTCCAATCACTAATGACTGTTACCTCCCTGCCCATTCTCTCACCTACTTGTGTACTTTTTCTCTGTTCATCTGAATCAAGAGAAGTAGGGTTTCTGCAAGGTTTTGGGAATTTTTGTTCTGTAGTTAGCGTCCCCCTCTGTTAACCATGTGGCTTTGGGCAAGTGCCTTGATTTCTCCATAACCATATTCTTCAGCCACCAAAAAGGGGCCCACCTCATACGAATGTTACAAAATTAAATGAGCCAATCCATGTCCAGTGTATAGTCCACAGCTAGCGGGCACTGAATACTTAATTTTGACATTTTCTAAAAATAAGTGAGTAAAAATATAACACAGTATTTTATTATTGGTTATAGCACCAGAGATGTCTAAAACAGCAGTCTTTTCTGTGTACCTGAAAGGAAATTATATGCCATCTGAGTTGGAAGGAAATGCGGTTGTTTCTTATTCCAGACCAACAGGTAAATGTGCACTTGGTCACAGATTTATAGACCTAATGACCCCTGTGAAGTTGTTAAGATTAATTGTTTAAGATAGGGGATACATTGACAAATGTTATTAAATTAAAAGTTTTTTTTAGTAATAAATTGTATTTCTGTTCAACTTCTTATGAGAAATTAGTTATATTTATATGATTCTCACATATTTGATTCTATCTTTTCAATTAATAACAAATTTTCTACCAAATTTGATCTATCTATCTATCTATCTATCTATCTATCTATCTATTTGCTTTTTGGGTCACACCCGGCGATGCGCAGGGGTTACTCCTGGCTCATGCACTCAGGAATTTCTCCTGGCGGTGCTCGGGGGACCATATGGGATGCTGGGAATCAAACCTGGGTCGGCTGCATTTAAGACAAATGCCCTACCTGCTGTGCTATCGCTCCAGCCCCCGATCTATATTTTTGACAAATTTTGTAGATAAAGAAAATCATCCAGTTGAGATTCATTTAAGTTTCAGTTTACTCTGATTCATTTTTATGTCCCAACCCCCCACCTCAGCCCCTCCACTCCCAACATGCCTAGGTGGTGTATTTTAGCAGTCAGTTGATTTATAGAATAAGAAGAATGAATGATTACTTTTTTAAAAAAAAGTCCACAGGCAACGGAAAATTAGAGTTGATGCACAGAACTGAGCTTACCACAGTGCGGGGGTATGTGTGGTGGTGTAGGATGGGGGACGCTGAGATGGTTTTGGAGGGAGGCAGACTCTGGTAGAGAGTAAGGAGTTGAAACTTTGTACACTCAGGGGACCCAAAGGCTATTCCTGAATATTCTGGGACAGATCATGATAGTTCAGTGCTTGTTTCCACTGATGTGATGTTGCAGGGGTCCAGTTGTGGACCAACAGAGGACCCTCCCCCCCAAGTGACTGTCAGGACCTTGTGGGGCTGGGGATTGAACTTGGGCCAACCACATGTAAAGCTTGTGCTCCGTTCAACCCCTTGGGCTTCTTCTTGGTCCTTAAGTTTAAGTATATGTACATTAAGTGTGTATTATAATTCTGCCACTGATAATTTGTTTTATTCTTTTTCTTGGCCCCTTTTCTCATTGCACTTGATGGATAGATCGAAACCCTGAAGGTAAGCAAAAATATAACTTAGAAGAAAATGAGTTTCAGAACTAAAATTTGGACAATGAATTGGTGTTATACTATGAAATTATTCCTTATATGGACTGCTGTTTAACTGTAGAAACAAATCTTTATTTTTTTAGTGATTCAGTGTATTGATCTTGCTTTGGAAAAGATAGTGGCTAGATGTTTCTTTTCATAGGGACTTATCATTTATTAATAATTGTTTTAGAATTGTGCAGAAGAATGAAGCTCCTCTAGTTCCATCCACATTGCTGAAAATTGTGTGCTTTTGTTATTTTTTATTTATTTATTAAAGAGTTTTTTATTTTTATTTTTATTTTTTTATTTCCTTTTTGGGTCATACCCAGTGGTGCTCAGGGGTTATTCCTGGCTCTGCACTCAGGAATTACTCCTGGCAGTGCTTGGGGTACCATATAGGATGCCGGGGATCGAACCCAGGTCGGCCGTGTGCAAGGCAAACGCCCTACCCTCTGTACTATCGCTCTGGCCCTGCTTTTGTTATTTTTTAGAGCTGCATAATATTCTATTGTTCCTGTAAACCATAACTTATTGATCATTCCCCTCTAGTATGATATCTGGGTTGCTTTTATATCTTGGCTCTTGTACTAAGTGCAGCGATGAGGTCTTTAGGGGAGAAATTTGAGGTCTTTAGGGGAGAAAGAAGTTTATACTGTTGGAGGGTGTGATGTTGGAATTACGTCCACAAAAATCATTATTAATAGAATTGTAGACAATAAAAGAAGTAATATGATTTTTTCTTTTGAAAACAGTTTACAGTGTCTTTGACTGGCCTTAACCTTATTCCATTTGCATTCTGTTTTTGTCCTAGAAAGGCAATGTGGTAAATGCTGCTAGAAAGTGAAAATATATTCCTATGGTCAGTTTTTTAATATATGGAAGTATTTTGCTAGATAACAAAGAAAAAACATCAAATGACAATTATAGTTATGACAAATAGACTATTGTTGATCATGAATATTTACGTTTTAGTTTGTGTGATTGCTTACATAACTGATAAGATTTCACTATTGTTAAAATTCCATAGCATTACTTAAATTATTTGTTGTAAGTTAAGGGAAAGTCAGTAAAGGTTATTGTAAAAAACCGTATTCCCTCAAAAGTATAAATTCAGCCTACGCAATAATCCACCTCCTTACATAGAAATGGCCATTTAAGTATTTCAATATAAAGTAAAAGCTGGTTTTGATAACATCTTATGAGACATTAAAAATTATAATTAAGCTTTAGGGAGTAGCACTGAAATATTCAGCATCACCAGGTAGGCAAAAAACAAATACGGTGCCACTTAGACTTTACTTACACCCAGGTCTTCAAATTTCAAAGGCTGTTCCATTTTATGGGTCTGATCTGTACGGGCTATATTACAGATAAGCAGTCCTGCTTTACATGTGGAAAAAGAGAAGCACATGAGGTTTTATGTTGTCCCATAAGAGTTAGTCTCCATTATTTTTGCATTAAAGTTACATGACATGGCAGTGTAAAACATGACTGCAGATGGAGCACAGTACGTAGCCAGACATAACAGGAAGGGATCAAGGAAGTTCTGGTTACCAGACATTGCTACTGCTTTGGGGTTCCTTGTTTTCACTATGAAATGACTCTAGCAGGCCCCTGGAAAGAGATGTAAAGGCATTACATAGATATGTAATATAGAGTAGACTTATTCTACTCTGACCTGGATTTCCGCTTGCTTCATCCGTTTCTTTTAAAAGTACGTGTTAGCTTTTCTCTTGACTGTAATACAGGGCTCTTGGGTGTGGCCAGTAATAGTTAGGATTGTCTTTCTGCAAAAAAATTGTCATGAGGGATTTCTGTGCAGATTTTCTAAGTGTTAAGTGATTTTTATGATTAATTGCACCATAGTAGTTGCAACTATTCATTTTTTTCTGTGCTAAGCTAGGAAGGGAATATTTGCAGGAGAGGTGACTATACTTGGTATATACTATACTTGGTATAGTCTGATGACTGGGTCGGGCAATATCTGAGTATTTTAAATCACTAAATTCTATTTTTCTGAAAATTTAATGAACTAGATTTAGAAACTATTTTGCCAGATGCCTCAAGAAAATATTGTTGATGGTTATTAGGCAAAGTTAGGATCATTTAGGTTTTTTCTATTAAGTTGGAAGATATCCTATGAGCAGCTTTGGAAAATGTTTACTTATAATTTGTCCCTTACTTTTTGCAGATAATCTTATATGACACCCCTCACCCCCCCCTTTTCTCTGGATTTAGGCTGGTAGACACAGTCATATCCTGAGAAGTAATTGGTAGCAAAATAAAAATTTCCCATTTTTCTCAAAAGTATATCAGTGTTGAAGTGTGCCACTGACAAACTCACATTTAAACACCAGAGACTGTATTTTTAAAAGCTTGGGTTTAATTTGATGGGAAGTAATAAAAAATACATTGTAATTTTTCTTTTCAAAGATAAACTTCCCTTAACTGGTTTCTGAAAGATATTTTCACTTCCCTCCCCACACCCGATGGTAAAACTTTTCAAGCTGCCATCATTTAAAAAATGGCCATAATCATTTTATTAAGTATCAGTGTCACCATTTTTCAAAGTAATGTTTTCCAAATGTCTTCTGTAGTGGCTTTATAATTCCTGGAGAGAAAAGAAATTCTGGAGGAGGTCTACAAATCTTAGCAATGGCCAACCACTGCTCTCGAGTGTGAGATTTCCATTAACTGGTCTGATTGAACTTTGAGTATTTCTTTTCTTGGGTTTACTAATGCTTGCAATACATTTGTTCCCATTTGCCAAAACATGTATACACCAACAGTTTCTTTAATTCTGGATTCTTGAAGATTTTGAACAATACTTTTTAAACATAATTTTTAATAACAGAAATTCACTGTTGTTGATTACTGTTAAGTTTTTGCTTTTGTTTTTGTTTTTGGTTTTGGTTTTGAGGTCACACCTAGTGGTGCTCACGGCTGACTCTGTATCTGCTCAGGGCTGACTCCTGGTAGTGCTCAGGGAACTATATGGGATGCTGTGGATCAAACCCAGGTCGGCCACATGCTACCCATTGTACTATTGCTTTGGCACCAAAACACTATTAATATTTTTAACTACAAATTCAGTCCAGTATCTGGTCCAAGGGAAGTATATATCACAGTTATAGCAGTATGATCATAGAAGAACATTTACAGCTGAATTTTGTCTGAGCAATTAGTTCAGTCTTTGTTGAAAGTATAGGGAACATGGCTTCTCTGTACATATGCAGAATGGACAGAAAATGAAGCATTTTTCATCTTTCATTAAATGTGAAATAAATGAAAATTGGTTTCCTTTTCCTTGTTATTTCCAGACTGTATCTGTCAATTGAAGCTGCAATTTATATGTTATAGAGGAAACACATTTAGTAGGTATATTTCAGTAATTTTGGAGGATATATGGAATATAGGGAAATTTCCTTGAATTTGGAAAGCATAATGCTTTGTAAATTTTCATGTTGCAATATTGATAGTTGTGGATTGAGCAGTAGCTTAGATTATGTTGCCATAATATTTGAGCCAAAATATCTCATCATTGTAAAGTACAAATACACATGCCTCTGAGAACTCACAGAATGTCAGAAAATAATACCCTGGGACTTAGAAAAGAGGCACCAGTTATAATTTGCATCTAGGATTCCAAGAGAAGTGAATTAACATCTGTTGGGTTATGAGCAAAAAGTGAGCTAAAATTTGATGGATAATAGATTATGTTGATGAGAATGGCAAGTATGCTCCTCGTGTTCTGAAAAAAGTATTTAATTGCCCTAATATATCAATGCGCTTGCCATTCTGAGGATCTCTCATGGACCTAGGGAGAAGTAGTACTGAGAATTGTATTCCCAAAGTGGATGTGTAATTAGCCACACAATTTCAGTGGACATAAACAAAATGTAGAGCTTATTATTTGATCTTACCCTGGGTTCTCATACCCCCATACTTTCAAGAACTTTTGCTTTTGTTATATTCAAGATACCCACTCACTCCCCTGTAAAGAAATGATGCAATTATCATGCTGGACCCTTCAAATTGACTAGAACTTTCTAAGTTTTCTGTTTCTATATAGTAGCCTACCATGATACAGGTTTTTGTACTTCATCCTTTACAGTATCACCTTATTTCATTCAAAATGAATGATACAACAATAGAGGAAACCAAAGCGGTAGAGTTATTTACCTAGATTTATGAGTTGAGAGCCTAATTGTTCTTAGTTTTATTATAAAAATTTAATGGTATCATTAAAATATTTTATTTCTGAAATAAAATTCTTCCTTGTTATTTATTTATTCGGTTACATATTTCGGTTAATCTATGTACATTTATAAAACTTAACAACTGATTATGTAAGAGTTTCAAAATAGCACATAAAGGTGATATGTAAAGTTTGATGACTTAGGAGATATTTAATTTATATGACATTAATATTCATTAATATTGACGTCTACAATTGACAAGAACTTCAGTAGAACTAATTCTGTTCTCATGCACAAAATTTATTGAAATGTATTCATCTAGTTTGAATTTTTAAGAAGAAAAAAGATCCTAAAAGTTAAAACTTGGTGAGAGGGTAGAGAAATGGTTAGAAATGATCAGAGAGAGTGCTGTTACTATCAATTTCGTATTATTTTGCTCATTTTTGTAGTCTTAAATTGAGATGAGAGCTCTAAAGGTCTTAATTAAAAGATTTAGTCCAGGAATTGAATGTAACTATAAGTAATGTTTTATGTAATACTCAACTCTGCTGATTTTAGAATATGGTATTACTATTAAGGAGAGACTTCATGTTTCTCATGCCTGTGTTCTTAAGATTTCATTTTGACTTGCACCTTTTTTTGTCTTTGGGCCGTACCTGGTGGTGCTCAGGGATTACTCCTAGCTCTGTGCTCAGGGATCATTCCTGGAAGGACTCAGGGTACTGTGTGGAATGCCGGGGAATTGAACCTGGGTCGGGCTCATGTAAGGCAAGTGCCTTACTCACTCTACTCTGGCCTTTTGACTTCCACTTTTGGCACTAATATTAAAATGTAAATAATGATAATGCTTTGTAGTTATTTCACTTATGTTGATCAGAACCGGCAGGAAACAACCTTTTAAATAGAGTTTATCTTTAAACTACTAGCATCACATTTTTTGGGGTCAAATTATTGTCAATACAATATCTCTATATATATCTTTATTTTAGGCATTTCTCGAGTTATCCAATGTAAATTTAGACTTCCCTTGAAGTTAATATGCTTACCAGGTCAGCCTTCCAAAACAGCAAGCCATAAGCTGACTATTGACACAAACAGACCTCCAGTCAGCCTTCTCAGTCTCTTTCCAGGTAAGACTTTTGAAGTTGCATGTCACTAACATCAGAAATGTTAAGAATTTAGAATGGAATCCTTCATCAGTAGGTAATGATAGGGTAATTATCAGATAATTGTTAAGTAAGATGATAAAAATGCCTCAAGGATTTTCCTCTCTTGTTTATCTGTTCAAAGTCGAAGAACTTATCAACAAGGTAATAAGGTGTACCTTTTAAGTTTGATTAAAATCATTATAATGATTATTTTGCTTCAGTATTCAGAAATGGGAACATCAAATGTTTCTTTTTAGACTGGAATTTTGGGTTTGGAATGTAAATATTTATTATTCATCTTTATTGTAGGTTTTTGGATATATTCCTTTTCTAAGAATATAAATATTCATTTTTATTGCAGGGTTTTACTAAGGTATATTCTTATAGTCCTGGAAATTAATCTCATAAGTAGATGTTCTTTGCAATTCTACTCTCTCTAGCAGCTGGAGAGGTTGAATATTCTTTCTCTGTCTCTGATCCTTTTAGAAGGAACTTGTATTTAAACCTTACGTATCACAGGGCATATTGGGGGTAATTTGTGAGGGTGTGACTTATGCCAAGTGTCAGTTTTTCTTTCTGAGTAGCTTAGAAAATAGAGGTGTTGATTGGATAAAGCATCTTTAGTAACCAGAATTTCTAATATGTCACATGTATTAACTTTCTTGGTGATGGGCGGAATTAAAAAGAAAATGTGGGAATTAAATCAGCCGTTTTAAATCTCTCATTAAGAATAGACACTGTTGGCTGTGAGACACATCCTCACCCTTGTTTTAGTGGATAGGATTTAGAGTACAAAGAGTATTTCCCATGTGGTTTAGAAATTTATGGTAAGTTAACTTTTGTGTTACTAACTATAGAGTGTACTTGAAATTTATTTTTTATTTATTTGAAGTCTTCGATGAAGTCTGTGAAAAATCTCCCAAATGAAATATTTTGATTGTAATAAATCTGTTCTTTAGTTTGTATTGAGCTTAGGTATATATAACATATATACAAATATGGCCTGGAGCGATATTACAGCGGTAGGGTGTTTGCCTTGCATGTGGCAAACTTAGCCAACCGGGTTCGATACTTCTGCCCCTCTTGGAGAGTCCAGCAAGCTACCAGGAGTATCTTGCCAGCACAGCAAAGCCTGGCAAGCTACCTGTGACGTATTTGATATGCCAAACACAGTAACAAGTCTCACAATGAAGACGTTACTGGGCCTGCTCGAGCAAATTGATGAACAACAGGAGGACGGTGCTACAGTGCTACATATACAAATATGTATGTATATGTATATTTGTACATATACTATATTGCACACATAGTATTTACAGTACATAGTATATATTATATATTTACACTTATGTGTACATTTGATACAACATATAGCCTATACTTTATTTACATATCTTTACACATATATGCAAATATATAGTATATACAATATAATTTATACATGTGTATATGTGTACATATATAAGTGTATATAATATATACAGATAGCACAATGGGTAGGGCATTTGCCTTGCATGCAGTTGACCCGAGTTTGATTCCTCCGTCCCTCTCGGAGAGCACAGCAAGCTACTATGAGTATCCTGCCCACATGGCAAAGCCTAGCAAGCTCCCCTTGGCGTATTCGATATGCCAAAAAACAGTAACAAGTCTCACAATGGAGATGTTATTGGTGCCCACTCTAGAAAATCAATGAACAATGGGAGGACGATGGACAGTGGATATAAATATATAAAGCCCCCTCTCCTCACTTCCCGTTTCTTCTTCTCCCCTCCCCTTTCTTTCTCATGCCTTTCCTTCCCTTTTCTGTTTCTTATAGCAAATATGAAAAGGCAGGAGTTGGTATGTTTATAATATTTTCCACAAATGCAGCACTTTCTTGGAGTTTCCTATGCTATTAGGGAATAAAATTGGAAATTATAATTATGTGTTGAACCCCAAATTTATTAGTATCTTTTAAAAAAATCTTAAAGACCTTAACTGTGGAATTGAACTTTCTACTATATAAGTGTAACTCCTACAAAGATTGAGTAAAAATGAATGTTTTTGTCCAGAGAGGTAATCTTTATGGCATACTGCATAAGACACATACGCCAAAGAATGTGTAGCTCGCTCTTTCCCCCATTTTCTGCCTTTTTTGGCTTCAGTTATTTTGATTTCACAGGTACCTATGCTCATTCACATATATAAACTTCTTAATCACTTTGGAAATGGGACTCAGTGAAAAATTTCCCCAACATGTATGTGATATAGTATGTTGTCTCTTGGATTTCATAGGTTTCTGATCCTATTGATTATGTGGAATCATAATTATTTGAAATAAGTTCTTGAACATTTTTACTGTTTTATTTAAGTACTTATTTTTACTTTTAGTATCTATATGACTTATATATGTTGATATCAGATAAAGTTGCTATTGCTAATATTTTTAAAAATAAAAATAAAATAAGTGTGTTTCATAAAGAAGAAATTAAAGTACTTTTTATCCATATCCTTTCCAATTTATTTCAGTTACTTTTTGTGAATTATATAGGCATGTTTAAAATAACTTGCTGGAGCGATAGCACAGTGGTAGGACGTTTGCCTTACAAGCGGCCAACATGGCCAACCCGAGTTCGATTCCTCTGCCCCTCTCAGAGAGCCTGGCAAGCTACTGAGAGTATCTTGCCTGCATGGCAGAGCCTGGCAAGCTCCCCGTGACATATTCGATATGCCAAACACAGTAACAACAAGTCTCATGATGGAGATGTTACTGGGCCCACTCGAGCCAATCGATGAACAACGGGAGGACTGTGACTGTGACTGAAAATAACTTAGCTTTTTAACATAAAAATGTGAAATTTAGAAATGGATAACCTAAAAAAAGAAAGTGAAAGTTACTGGTGATTTTGTCATCTAGCAATTATATTTTCAAACATAAATGTTTTTTTCCTGAACAATCCGTTAAAATATTTTGCTTTGCATTTACTTTTGGACACATCATCTAATGTATTAACCTTAAAATAATGACTATACTTATAATTAGTTGTATAATTTTCTGTGACAAACCCATACTATAAAATTACTTAACCAATATTATGTTTTTGACATTGATGTTATTTTCAGTTATTAATATTGTAAATATATTATAACAATATTTCAAGTTTGTTACCATTTATTTGATGATGATCTATAAACTAATGTCTAGTACTTAGAGCAGCTTTGATATACGATGCTATTTATTGCTGTCATTGGAAGTTTTTTTTTTTGTACATACAGGGTTTTGGACTTCTTTTTCTCTTTGAAGAACTTACTTGAAGATAAAATGCCTGCATTTAAGAGGACAATTATTTGAGATCTTTATCCAAATGCCAAATTTCCTTCTAGTATAATGATATCAGTTACATGTCCAGCACTAGTATTCATACTCAGGGTAGCAAAGAGATTTGTTAAATCTAAAAATGTTCACATGGTTAGAAAAAAAATTTTATGACATATCTTAAGAAAATTTGCAGTTATCGATTTTATGTCAAGACACACATTTTATAATCTCTATTAGCTACTCTATTTCTAATCATGTTTATACTTTTAAATAACATTTATTATACAATTTAATTTTATTAAATGATTACAGTTTCAAGTTTTCATTATGTTTAGAGGAATCTCTTTTAAGATTACATTTTAAGATTCGATAGCACAGCGGGTAGGGCGTTCGCCTTACAAGCGGCCAACATGGCTGACCCGAGTTCGATTCCTCCGCCCCTCTCGGAGAGCCTGGCAAGCTACCGAGAGTATTCGATATGCCAGACACAGTAACAACAAAGTCTCCAATGGAGACGTTACTGGGCCCGCTCGAGCAAATCGACGATCAACGGGAGGGCCTTTACTTTTACTTACTTACTTTATGTTTTCTTCTGATACTTTCTTAGGGACATAATCTCCCGGCATTATTAGGAGGTTTTGGAGTTTCAATGTGAGGGTCCCAGGGGATAGAGCTGCTCAGCTCTGCCCAGCTAGGGATTTCCTGAGCCCCCCAGGCGAGGATCTCGGCCTCCAGGGCTTCACTCATGCTGTTCAGAGAACCATGTCCTACAGGATCAAACTGGGATCAGCCATATGCAATGCACATACCTTGGGCTCTGCCCTGTGTCTCCAGACCTTCTTCCTGTGCATTTTAATGCATTATCTAATTCTCAGACACAGATTCAGTATGTCTTTTTTTCCCCTCTACTGTTTTTTTTATAAAGAAATAACTTTCTTGGAGCATAACTGAAGTATTATAAATTGAACATTAAAAAAAAATTGGTGGGGCTGTAGCAATAGCACAGCCTTGCATGCATTTGCCTTGTATGCGGCTGACCCGGGTTTGATTCCCAGCATCCCATATGGTCCCTTGAGCACCGCCAGTGGTAATTCCTGAGTGCAGAGCTAGGAGTAACCCCTGTGCATTGCCGGTGTGACCCAAAAGCCAAAAAAAATTGGTTTTGGGGACACTAAAACCAGGGTTTTTGTAGCAGTGCTCAGGGCTTACTTTTGGCTCTGCACTCAGGAATCTCTCATGAATTTGTGGCTAAACTTGAGGTACCATATGGGTACTAGGGAGTGAGTCTGGTTGGCTGCTTGTAAGGCAAGTGTCTTATCCACTGCGCTTAACCCCAACCCCTGAAAAATCAAGTGTTTTTTTTTTTTATCCTATTCTCATATTGGTGATTTCTTCTTTTCTTTTTTTGATAGGCTTTGCAAATCAATCAGAAGATGATCAGGTGAATGTAATGGGTTTTCGTTTCTTAGGAGGTTCCCGAGTTACTCTTCTTGCTTCTAAAACCTCTCGTAAGTAAAACCAGGATATTTTTAATTTTTTTGAAGACACCACATCACAGGTCATTATCAACTCAAAGGTGCTGAAAACTGAAACTTGTAATATTTGAGTATTTAGGCCATAAAAATTATGAAAATGACATTCTGTTTTATTAAAGATATGCAATTATAGCTTTGGAAATGAGGAGTTTTGGAGAGGAATTTAAAGAATTGACAAGTGTCTTTGAGTTTAAATTATGGTGACATTGGTTTTAGAAAATACTAGAGACTGGGATTAATTTTTGTGTGTGTGTTTACATTCCATGGATACTGGGAAGAAAAAGGTTTGTGAGTAAATGACATTTGCTGAGACTAGCTCCAGTAGAATGAGAAGTACTAATTAGAGAGTGAAATTTAAATTTCAGATATAAATATATTTTATTGACTTGGTTATTTTGTATGAGACTCATAGTTGAAAGCTAGAAAAATAATTTCTTTATTGTGGGACACTAAAGTTAAGCTCATTGACTTAGGCATGCCTTGCGGAAAGGAAGTTAGGAAAGGAAATGTTTATAAATAAATGGAATAATGTGGTTCTTATTTCACTTTTCTGTGGAATATTGAGAGACAAAACAAAGGAATTAACAGCATTGAACAGTGACAAACCCTTGACGTGGATTACAAAACTGACTAACAAATAGAAGGGGCGGGGGTCGGGTCTGGGGGAAGAAGATTGGATCAGAAGTCACTCTTTTTTTTTAAATTTTTTATTTATTGAATCACTGTGAGAACAGTCACAAAGCCTTTCAGTTTAAGTCTCAGTTGGTCATACAATGATCAAACACCTATCCCTTCACCAGTGCACATTTTCCACCACCTAGAACCCCAGTATACCTCCCTCCCACCTCTCCCCCGGCCTGTGTGGCAGATTTCCACTTTAGTCTCTCTCTACGTTGATCACATTCAATATTATGACAAAAGACCCACCATTATTATTTGGAATTTCCCCCAACAATCCGACCTGCCAAAAAGACATGATTAGATAATTTGTTTTCTATTGCTGATTATGAAGAGCATATGATGTCACATAGCCATGATACGATTTTGGATTTCAGATATTCTAGTAATAAGTCTGGAGGGATTCCTGCCAAAAGCTGCTGGGTTCTGAGATTGGATTGTTTGCCTCTGGGACCATGGTCATTCAGGAACCGGAGGAGACATTCGTGGGTGGCAACTTGGGGCCTTGTCAGGGTGGGGAGAAGGGCTGGTTCCACCCCCATCCCATGAGGTCCCACATGCCTTGTCATTGCAGTCTCAACTTGGCTGTCCATTAGGCTCTGAAAGATGGTGGCCACCATGCCACCGCCACTAGGGGCAAAAGGCGAAGGGACAAACACCCTTCCCCTCCCGGGGTTGTACGGTGCCATAGTTTAATGCACAGTCCAGATGCATTTCTGTTGGGCATTATATTTTGCTCGAATTTTCCCACCACCATTCAAGCCTGCCTTCCAGGGACAGACGCTAGATTATTTACTTTCCATTGTTCACTTTGCATATCAGGAAAGGTGTGGGACCTGGAGAATTCTCCTGGTGGTGTGCTGCTTGTTGGCCAGGTTTCTTCACTGCTGTGTGTGGCAAGATGGTGCTGGGGGCTGGTTGAGGGCATGACTTCCAGGATCAGGGACTGTCTGGGAACCGGGATGGAACTGCCTGGTCCAGCGCCCCCATGCGGTTTGGAAGATTAGTGCTGGTGCCCACATACAGAAGCCATGCTTGTAGAAGCTCATGGTCACTAGGATTCCATCTGGAGAAGGAGTGGAGACTGCACCTGCCCCATCTGGGACCTCCCGGCGATATCGGTTTGGTATGGGGCCCAGAGAATTCTCCAGGTGTTGTGGTGCCCGCCAGCCAGGTTTGTTCCCAGAAGTGACTCTCAAGGACAGTTATAGGACACTTTGGTGGCGATGTGATGCAATAACTTTCTAGTCAGTACCATAAACTTCAACACAATTAAAACCACATTGCCTAACCTATAACAAAAAATATTTTTAAGATAAAGAGAGAATGTGTTACTAACACTAAGAATACTGGAAAAGAAATAATGTGTATATATAATCCATATTGTATGTAAATTTTATGAAAGTCTAATTGAATATATTTCCATTTTAAAAAATTCTAGCTTATTTTATGTATGTTACTTTCAACTTTTTGCACATAAAGTTTTATTTGGTCATTTCCTTTTCTTTATAATCATGAAACATAGTCAAATAAAGACATAATCCTTTTTGAAAAATAACGGTGCAATAAGGAGGATCATGTACTTCCCTATCCTAGAATTATAATGGCGTTTCTATTGCTAGTATAACAGCAGCTTCTGGAATAAATGGACGGCTGAGTGATAAAGTACATTTGGATCCAGCTAAACGTTCTAGAATAAGGCACAGAAATATAAAAGGCAATTCTGGGAAGAATAAGAGGGTTTTATGTTTTATGGTCCCTGTGATTCAGTATGATTGTAGTCTTTGCATTGGTACCATTTTGTTCTGATTAGCTTTAATCTTCCGTTGGATGATGAAATGATTTTGGTACTTTTTTCTTAGTAAAACTATTCTTTTTAAAAACTAAAAAATTCTTGCCAACAGTTCTTGAGGAAATTATACACATCTGTTTGCTGTATAATGATTTGGCAATTGAGATCATTAGAAAAGATAAAAGTTATTCTTTGTGGAAATGGGGATATTTAATTCCTGATGAATTCTATTTATTTATTTAATTTTAGATAAAGTACCTCTTAGACTATTACTCTTGTTCATGATTACATTACCATATCTAAATTTTTACCAAACATATTAAACTGACTTATTCATGTTCATCTGAGAATGGCAGTGCCTTTACAGTTCAGTGTGGGCAGGTAAACTAATGGACTAGGACGGGTCACTGTAAATAAGTCACTGTCACTGTCACTGTCCTCCCGTTGTTCATCAATTTGCTTGAGCGGGTCCAGTAATGTCTCCATTGTGACACTTGTTACTGTGTTTGGCATATCGAATATGGCATGGGTAGCTTGCCAGGCTTTGCCATGCGGGCGAGATACTCTCGGTAGCTTGCTGGGTTCTCTGAGAGGGGCAGAGGTATCGAACGTGGGTCGGCCGACCCGGCTACATGCAAGGCAAATGCCCTGCCTGTCATGCTATCACTCCAGCCCGTAAATAGGTAATTGAATAATATAAACTGAAAGTGGAAACAATCTGAGTGTCCAGGATTATACCTAGATAAACTGGTGTAAGTACACAGTGAAATCCTACTCAGAGCCAGGTTGATAGTATAATAGGCAGGGCATTGCCTTTCATTTGAGCAACGTGGGTCCGAACCCTGGCATCCCATATGTTCCCCCAAGTATAGCTAGGAGTGATCCTGAGCATAGGGCTAACAGTAAGCCCTGAGCACAGCTAGGTGTGTGTCTCCAAAAGATAAAAATACTACTTGGCTATAAGAAAAGATGCAGTTTTCTGGTATGTGGATGGAACTGGAGAGTATCTTGCTGCTGAAATCCACCATGAGAGTGATAGATACAGAATGATCTCTCTTATGTGTGGGATGTAAAGAAACATATGTAAAGGAACAATAGATGGTCAAAGGCAGCTAAAAGTGAGAACTGGAATACAGAACAGTGTATACTCAGGAGTGGGGTAGGAGTGGGGGTGTTGAGAGTTGGGTACAGAGGGGGGTCCTGAGACAGTAATGGAGGGAAGCAGACACTATAGTTGAGGGTGGTGTTGGAACAGTGTATTGCTGAAACCTGCCATTAACAGTATTGTAAATCATGGTGCTTCAAAAAAAAAAAAGAGAAAAAAATTGATACATAGTGAAAAAGTAATGGGTTCAATGGATCTCCAGTATGATAAAGTTGACGTGAAATAGAAAAACTAAAGATGATGATGACAGATTGGGTCAAAAATTGATGTCAAGAGCTTAGAGGGACTATAGCTGTGATAACAGAAAGCTTGCTGAAGGAAGTGTGAGAATGGAACTAGTGACTAATTAGTGACTAATGGAGATGTAGATTTCAGGGAAATGCGATGTCATTGTGGGTAGTCAGAGAACCTGCTTGATGCTATTGTGGCAATTAAGAGTAGCACTGTAGCACAGTCCTCCTGTTTTTTATCGATTTGCTCGAGCGGGTTACCAGTAATGTCTCACAACAAATTGTGAGACTTGTTACTGTTTGTGGCATATCAAATATGTCATGGGGAGCTTGCCAGGCTTTGCCATGCAGGCGAGATACTCCTGGTAGCTTGCCAGGCTCTCCAAAAGAGGCGGAGGAATCGAACCCGGGTCTGCTGTCTCAAGGCAAATGCCCTACCTGCTTTGCTAAGAGTAGCACATTTAAACATTATTCTGAAAATTTAGAGCACCAAGGCTCAGGAGTATATCTTTAAAGATTGAAAAAGGATAAACAAGCAATTTAAGGAACATGATCATAGAGGGTGTTTAAGTTTTCGTGAAAGTCATAGCATACTTGACAACAATGGAACATTGTCGCTCTCCAAAATGTGGGGGAAAGATTTTTTTTTTCTTTTTTGGGTCGCATCTGGTGATGCTCAGGGGTTACTCCTGGCTCTGCACTCAGGAATTCCTCTTGGCGTTGCTCAGGGGACCATATGGGATGCTGGGAATCAAACCTGGGTTGGCCGCGTGCAAGGCAAATGCCATACTTGCTGTACTATCAATCCAGCCCCAGCGGAAAGATTTTTAACTAGAAGTCTAGTCTGTCAAAGAGGTTACTGGCAGTAAATGCTGTGCTATTAAGAGAGGCTCAGTGTCACAAGAATGGCTAAGCAGTTGTTTATAGCAAGTTTATGAAATTCCAGGTATACCTTGGAAATAGAAAATGTAAGCAGTACAGTGAATGTTTCACTATCCTGGAAAGATTTTTTTTAACCATGTTAAGAAAGGAGAGTGATTGCATTAAATAAAGTCAAATTGAAAAATTCCTTTGCTATCTCTACGTAAAATTAAAAGAAAAATTTTTT